TTTCTTAAAGAGAAAAGAAGCTATACTTACCTCTTGGACACCGCATATACCTACGAAAGGATTCCCTGTGCCGTGTCGTCATTATAGAGTAAATTAAGAAGGCTACTACTCTGTAACAATACATTCAAGAAGGCTATTCTATTAAATTGTAAAGCTATTTTTATAACTAGGCTATTTATAAGTTGATAAATATTATGACTAAATAAATATTATGACTAAGTTGATACTATGAATAAGATAAAAAGATATTATACTATGATTGCTAATTATTGCTAATTATGGTAGTTGCCATTCTGATATAGGGATTGCCGATTTTGGTAAATCGTTGATTCGTATAGGTGTGTCACCCAATATGTGTGACGGGCGTGATCGGACGAGATCTCGGGTGTGTTTCCCTGTACGTCGGAGGCGCTGCTAGAGCCATATAAAAGATATGTCCATGTTCATGTCCAAACTATGGACATGGACATTGGACATTAAAATTGACTGTCCGTGTCCAATGATTTGCTTGGATAATATGTTCATGTACGTACTAAAAGAAATCACTGGCTTGAAGATCTTTTCTATAATAAAACATATTACAAATAAATAATGATATTCTACTCTAAAAGTCTGACATCACTCCGTGCGACCTAGTAAATGTTGAACAATTTTTTTAAAGAAGATTATTATGATTAGTTATAGTTTCGATGATACTTTGAAATTTTTTAAATATTTTCTGAAGACTTTGATCCAATTAAGAAATAAGCTTTTTCAATTTTTATAAGCTGAATTATAGAAGGCTGTTTATCGATTAGTAAAAAATTAAGTATTTTATCGAAACTATAACTGATAAGGTTCATAACACGTAAAAATTTACTATTCCTTATAAGTAGCATAAAAATTTTGTTGTTTTATTATAGGAAAGATTTTCAAGCCGGTGACTTTTGTCAGGGGAGTTTACATCACTGTCCAAGGGTGAGTCTGCATCGACTCAGGAGTAAAGCCGACGTATCATTATTATTCTGAAACAATTATCAGAACTAGCGTACTGAGAAACGAATTCGATTTATTAATATATGGTATCAATAATTACTGAATTATATTTCTTATTGTACGTTATTGCAACAATTTTTCGACTCAGGTCTGACAGTTAAATAATATTGACTTCAGTTCATCCCTAGTCTGTGTGTAACAAGAGGGTTTGAGATCATTCAATTTCTTAATAGCGTTAGTACTCACAAAACTATAATAGATTAAATGCCAAGTATAGATTTCTGATATCATCAATCGGAGTACATGGCCAATAGTGCGGTTGTGGCTTGGCGTACTTAATATCGCTTTAATAAATTTTTTTTTTTTGAAAAAAAAAAACTTTTACCGAAATATGCCTTCTGTTTCTTCTTTAAACGCCGAGGACAAAGCTGCAATAAAAAAAGTCATAAAGAACACTACAAATGTATAATTTATTTCTTTGCGTAATTAACACAAAACGTTATGAAATTACACTGATGATTACAATTTTTTTTAGAAAATCCTCACTGCAACTGTCGTTCGACTTTATGTTGCATATCCTAACCCAGATGCATGGACCTACAGCAACCTTATGGGCGCTGTAGCTTTCGTCAAGGATCAAGAAAAGAATTCTTTTTTTTTTCGTTTAGTAGATTTGATGGTATATTTTTTAAATTTTCTTCTGCTTTCTCGAATCAATTTTGTCATAACTTTTTTATAGAACAATCAAGGTATCTTATGGGAGCAAGAACTATATAAAGATTTTAAATACAATCAAGAGTGCCCATTTTTTCATACCTTTTGCTCTGATGTAAGATTATGTTTATTCGATCAAAATTTTTTATTATTAAGTATCATATTTACATTGATCCACTCGTACTTTCGATAGGATTATTTTGCTGCGTTCTCGTTCGCCAATGAAAATGATGCAAAAACCTTTTACAAGAAAGTTACGAATAGAGAGAAGCTTAGTGGTAAAGTTATAATTATATATATATATATATATATATATACTGTTGCTATATAACATTGTTTTACTGATTTATGTAATAATTTAAATAGCTAAAAAAAACCAAAAGAATTCTAAAAGTGGCGGATTATTTAGTACCAAGAAAAGTAGCAAGAAGGGTAAAATAGACAAGGAGTCAATCAGCAAGCCAACTGATTTTAGGTTAATATTTATTTAATGTTTATTAGTCAAGGATACATATATTAAAAACAACGTTTTCTTCAAGGCACCTTGGACATATAGGTTTTAATCCTGATACAGGGTTTGACGTGCGTATAGTGGGTTTATTCGATAATTTGAGAGTAAACCAAATAACGATTAAACCTTGATTTTTATAGGTACAAAATATCGATCCTCAATGGAAAAGTTTATTCGATCAACTAAGTGATTTGGGTATCAGTCAGGTAAATATAATATGTTCAATTAGTTATCGAAATTCAATATTTATATTTTCATATATTTATAAATTTTTGTTAGGAATTAATTACACAAAATGCAGATTATATTATGAAATATGTTGATGAACAAGGTGGAATCAAAAAAATAAATAAGCCCACCAAACCGACGACTGGCAAATCAGCTCCTGGCGCTGCAAAAAAAACACCGCCACCACCACCGCCAAGTCGACGTCCCGGGTCTTCACCACCCGTTAAAGCCAAGGCAAAATCTCCACCACCTCCACCGCCAGCTCGACGCTCTGTTTTCAACAATCAATCGAATAATTACATACCTTCAAAACAGCAGAGTCCTCCATCATCTCCAAAGCAGGCCATTCCACCACCAACTCTTAAACAAACAACGTCACATCTACCACTACCACCTCCACTTCCAGTTTTAAGCGTAAATAAAACCGCGCAACCATCACCAGCTTCGAATATACATAAACCAGTACAACCACCTCCAGTTTCTAAAACCATACAACCACCTCCAGTTTCTAAAACCATACAACCACCTCCAATATCAAATATAAATAAAATTCCACAACCACCTCCAATATCAAATATAAATAAAATTCCACAACCACCTCCAGTACAGAAACCTGTACAGCCACATCCGGTTCAAGTCGCGCCGCCACCGCCACCTCCTCCTGTTTGTCCTCCGACGACTCAGAACGAACCTCCACCGTTGCCTCCTGCCAGAGTGCAAACTCATGTGCCACCACGCCAACCAACATCAGCGGTGCCACCTACTTCTGATGGAGCTCCACCACCACCTGCCTCTAGGACTGTACCACCACCGCCACAACCACCTATTTCTGGTGTACCACCACCACCGCCACCACCACCACCTACTTTCGGTGGCGTACCACCACCACCACCACCACCACCACCTACTTCTGGTGGCGCACCGCCACCTCCTTCTAATGCAGCATCCATGCCACCTGTCACGAATGGCCGTGCTAATTTGCTGGCCGAAATTCGAAATGTGGGTGGTGTTTCCAAAGCTGGACTTAAACCCGTATGTGGAGAAAGTTTTAAATAATACATATATATTGTTTTTTTGTTTTATGCGCTTTTAACAAATTTTTGTGCGTTTTTTTTTTTTATTAAGGTTGGTGAGCCAGTTCGCCGGTCAACTATACCTGATGAACCTCAAAGCCCAACTGCTGGGGGGAATGATCTTGCCTCAGCATTAGCAAATGCTCTTTTGAATCGTGGAGCAGCAATCCGTGGTGATTCTGGTTAGTATTTATATATATATATATATTTTTTTTAAACCATGAAGTATAAATTAAATATTTATTGAAATTTTATTTAGATGAAGACGAAGATGACGATGACGATGATTGGGATGATTAAAAATTTTTTAAATAAATGGAATAGTGGTTGGACCCGTCTGAAAAATCATGACCCGGGTAACCTGGCGGGTCACCCGGGTGGATAAATGATAAAATAACATTAAATTCTATCTTTCTTCTATAATTATAATATGAAATTAATAAAATATTTGATGAATTGCACAAGAACTATACTAGAACTATACTAGAACTGATTCATAACATGCCAGTATAATATGGGCCCTTCCACAGCAAATCGGGGCTTAGAGACGAATTTTTAATTTGGAGATATCAACGATTAATCATTTTGATGCAAGTTTGGTAATTGTGATAAATTTAGATATTTATGTGTAACATAGCTCATGTACAGTACGTACAAATCGATTACATTGTTGATACAATATTAACGGTTTTAGTAATAGCACGATAGTGGATTTAAAAATTTTAACGCTAACAGTAATTAAATATTAGCGAATTAAAAGTTAGAGAATTTAAATTTTCTAGTAATTTAACGCTATACGCGTCTTAGTGTTTTCAAATCATAAAAGTTTAAAATGATTTGCGACATTGTTGATTTTAGCAGTAGAGATAGAATATTTTGAACTAAAATTCAAATTGAATTTTTTGATAATTTAGCACTAACGGTAATAAAGTGTCAATAATTGTACAAATTTTAAGATTAAACATTTATAAAACAATTCGAATAATAAAATTTATAAATTATATCAAGCTGTAACGATTGATCTAAAATTTTTTTAACACAAGTTTGTATAGTGTAAAATAGACAAACTACCAAATTTTTAAGCATTTTTTTGGAGTAGAATTTATAATAAACAAGTGGTTAAATAGAAATCTTAATTTATTGTCTGGTGCGAAACGAAAAATTTTTTTTATTATAAAATTTTTGCCGGGTATCGGATCACTATAGAGGTCGGATCCTTTGAATATCCATCATGGCTATTCCGCAGGTTTTGGATATTCGCGAATAGAAATATTCAGATTTTGGATGGATACCCGTGCTATTCGTGACCACGAATATTCACGCGAATATTCATGCACAAATTATTATATTGATTACAAACCTTGGATATTCAATAAATATTCATGAATCCGGCCTCTAGATCACTATTTTAAGATCAATATTTTAAAAATAAAAATTCGGATCGTCGGTCAAAATAAATTTTTAATGTTATATGAACAAAAAAAAAACCACTTTATATAACCTTAAGAATAAAATTACTGAGCTTAAGAAAAAGAGATCACAAAAATAGATTGACCTTGCTGGAATTGAGCCAGCGGTTTCAAAATCTTAAGACCAACAACTTAGGCAATTTTTACATGACAACTATAGCACCAAAACCTTAAAACCTTGGAAATAAGTTGCGAAATGCGGATAATAAACTCATGATAAGAAAGATGGTCTCTATTATTTTATATCATCGCGATAATGAACTCTCTTGACCGGATAAAATATTTTACACTAATTAAATTGTGCTCTGATCTATTAAATTAGATGCTTTACTCATCTTTTTTACACTTAATTATAGATAACCATCACGCATCCTCAATGTAATATTTTTAAGGTTACAAAAATCACATATGATATGTGACGATTAAACATCACGCTATGAAAGTACGTACGTACGTACGTCATACGTATGCTATCTCTAAATTTAGTATCTCCTATACCACTTTTTTTTCATGCTTTATTATCATGAAGGATGAAGATGAGGAAGACTATCAGTGGGCCTTAGATAATGTTGCTCATTTATTTGTATTTTAAAATAGTTACACGAAAATTGTAGATCGGAAACACATGACCTACTTGATCATCAATAAAACGCGTAGCTTGTATTATTAAAACAGACTTCAATACTGCAATAGCATATTCTTATCATTTGTTTTTATAAACTTATTATTTTTTAAATAATAATTTCGATATCTTTCGCAAAAAGAACCGAGGTGTTATGATAGGTTAGTAATTTTCACTTTACAACGTGGGAATCTAATGAGTCATAGCATGGTGTGCACAAAGACGACAAACACGACAGATAGCAAGAACGACAAATACGACAAGAACAACGAAGACGACAAGGACAATGAAAAGTAATGATTAGAAGAGGGCGGGGAATGGATTGTGTACACCTTGCTATGAGAGGTTAATTATAATATGAGAGGTTTATATGTTACTAATAAAATGCCTTCTTTTTTTCTCTAGTTAGGCTAAGAAAACGTGCAAGACACGTTCTCTCAGCTGCATGTGTGTGCACATGACGCGAGACGACAACAGGCAAGAATGACAAGATAGCAAGAACAGCAAATACAACAAGGACAACAAATAATCAAAGACAACAAATACGACAACAACAAAGGATTAGAAAAGGAATGGGGAGTGGATATGTGCACACCTTGTTGTAAGAGGTTAATTTTAATTCCCAGTAAGCTATGCACTTTTTTAGAAAATGATATGCTCTTGTAAATTAATTTCCATACTCACGGGCTATAACTATCATAATATAGATACGATCTGTAGCTAACGATCCTCGGTACAGAAGCAGACGTCGTTAATTATAGGTTAGTAATTTTCATTTTACTAACGAGAATAGCATGTGTGTGCACATGATGCGAGACGACAACAGGTAAGAACGACAAGATAGCAAGCACGACAAGGACAGCAAATACGGCAAGGACAACAAATACGACAACAGCAAAGGATTAGAAGAGGAACGGATATGTGCACACCTTGCTGTGAGAGGTTAATTTTAATATAAGAGGTGGATTCTAAGGTCTGCTAGTTCCGTTTCGGTAAAAAGGAATTAGCTATGCACCTTTCTTAGAAAAATGATATGCTCTTGTAAATTAATTTTCATACTCACGGGTGTAACTATCATAATGCAGCCCTCCTTATTGGCACTATGAATTATCATCTTCCACCACCCGATTCGAATGAAGGAAAACATATAATGACGTTGAAAGATATTTTCTTACTTTCTATGAATATTAGTAACAAGAATACAAATACCCAAGCCATCAATATCCCTTGGCTATCCTCTGGTAGCCCTCAGTACAGAAGCGAAAAACGTCCCTTCAAAATTTCCCATTCTTGACGATTTTTGATAATGATTGAATGTTTGGTAGGTATTCTTTTAAAATCCTTTTCTATTTCACTTTCACAATCTTCACTTGTTACTTACTGTATTTACTGTAATTATTACATTATGCAAGGAAGTTTTGGAAACGCTGATTATTCACCTTTATTCTGCAGGATATGGTTAAAATCTAATCTGTCGTTTAATGACGGGTCTAACGTCTAGTAATAATAATAAAATAAAATTAAATATGTATATTTAAAATTTTTTCTACCTGCTTCAAAATTCGCTCGATCAATGTTTTCCGGATTGAATTCGAATTATCAATCTGGATAGTCCTGAAAAAATAGGATCGAAGTTCTATGAAATATATAGAGGTTTATAATATTATAAAATAAAGGTTCAAATTTTGTTATGTATAAGGTTTTTGGGATTCTGAATATTTTTACTTGGAACTTCTAACTTTAAATACATAATACATTTTTGAGATATACAGTAGCACCCCAGGTGATTTAACAAGGGGGAAAGTTAGCAATAGTCAAAAAGTTTTATCAGATTTGATTAGGTTGTTGTCGATATAAAGGTTTGAAAATTTTCATTTTTAGTGAATTATGATCATAGTCACGTGACCAAAAACGGAGAGACAAGAAAATTTTGTTAATTAATTGTTAGTCAATATTAAAATTTATAAGTTAGGCCAAATTAGTACAAAAATAAAACTTTACTAGCAAATTCTAATCTTTTTCAAAGACGTTTTCAAATAGGTCAGCCTTTTTCTGATTGGTCGATATGAATCAATCACTCGAAGAACTTATTATACACTTTAAAGTACCTTTTGAAGACTTAATGTTTTATTAATACAGTATATTATTATTATACTAATGCTTATATCTGCGATTAGAATAGGTGTAACTTGCTTTGGTTAAGTGGGTCGATAATATGTATAATAGTATTGTTTAGTTAATTATGTGGGTTAAGATAAATTTACTAATAAATTTTTTGAGACGTTTTCATCTCGTAAATTAGCCAATCAGATGAACAGTGTTCGATGCTAACCAATAAAATAAAGAACTTTGTAAAAATAACCGGAAATTTGGATTTACATGGAATAATTGAAAGTATTTGAATTTACTTGGGCAAACTTGGAACCAAGTTTTTTCGTGTCCCTGGCACAGATCTTACTTATGCAATTTAAGTTTATTTAAATCATTTATATTAGACATGAAAAGGATTTATAGCCTCGTTAAACCGGTTAAAATTTACTATATAATCGAACTAGTCCGATTTTCAAATGAGCCAAACGATTTAACATTTCTACTTTTAATAATAAATAATTATTTTGAAGTAAACCATAAAGCTACAGATAATCAATATCTATTTTTATCCTTCAAAAGAGTTCGTTTCATAAGAATTCGAGACATGCTTTGGTACAAATTTAAAACTCTCATGTGCTGGACCTAAAAACATCTCACTATATAAATTGAAGGATATTGTATTCTCTTAGTCAAATTTTATAACACAAATTGTTGAATATTAATTGAAATTTACCTTATCTTTACCCAATCATTACTATTTCCGCTAGCCAACAAAGTTTCTAGTTCATCCCTTCCACGGAAGAATGGAGGACGCTCATTTATACGTTGTGGTAAGACCTCAAGTAATCCAACGGGGATATATCTAAAAGTAATTAAATTTAGTATTTGAACATTAATAGTAAAATAAACAAGCATAGATTTCATTACCTATATAGGAAACTCATCCATTCGCAAAAGAATCTTCGGGTCTGATTAATCCCCTATAAAATTAGTAAAATTTATTAAAAATTAAAAAGTAAATCGTAGTATGGATGATAATAGGAAATCTAAAGAATGATAAATTACAATGGAATCAGATCCCCAATGTTCCATTCCGTAATCGCAAAATTTTTTCATAA